TCTTTGATTTAGAGTGTGCCCCACATCGTTTTTTTCCTGTTACGAAATACAGAATGGTCAGAAGTTGAACTGGCATCAGAGCCGCCAGAAGTCCGCATGAATCCGGTTACAGGTTCATACTAGCGCAGCGGAAACACGGTTGCGTTGCAATTAGATTAAATTAGACGATTAGATTAGGCGACCTTGGTATAGAGAAATAGGCTGCTCCATTATGTCATGTATGCATAACCAGTCGCAAAGGGTGATTGGCTAAGTAACCAAGCGTATGCTTTGGAATAAATGACTTCGTCACGTATTATTTCGGAAATATAAACTAGTAGCATCCATACAAACCTATATACAGATTGTGACCCAGTCAATCGATTCGATGTGAGTTCAAATGAACAAGTTCAGTCGATTTAGTCTGATCTCCATCAATCAACTTATAACATCAGGTGAGGTACATTTCATTGCAGCCAATAAATCTTTTATTTCATGAGCGTAATGGAGGATTTGATTCAATTTTACAGAGGAAATTCATCGTGTTTAGAGTGCGTAAACAGCTAGGAAGCACTGGACAGCTGTTTTGACCTGGTTGGGTCTCATCAGCAGTGAGCGAACCCTTCGACCGAACTGAGGATCGAATCCACTACCCCACAGATCCAACCAGGTCGAAACTACTGTACAATGCTTCCTAGCTTTCCAGTTCACATTTCATTTGCTCTATACGCGACGAATTCCCCCCTTGAAATCTTTTATCGATAATAACTTTATCTACGTTTATGTTCTGACAGGTTTGGTAACGATTTTTCAGTAATTACATATAATGAATTGATCGATTTTTTACATACTATTTAATGGAAAAAGTCACAATGGTAGATGAAAAGAGAATGCATAAACATAGAATTGTACAATGTATTGTCCACGATCACTTCGTACATAGTGTAGTCATGATTTCTTGTTGTGTATTCATTGTTTCACTGACTGGGAAAATCACCTTGGGTGCATTATGCGCGTGTACGGATGCAACGAAATGATTACGGACTCACGGTACCAATCCATGTTTATAACTTCTCTATTCAAATTAGGAGTAAAAGCCAGCAGTGTTTTTAAAAGGATATTTTCCCTGTCCCGAGTAACTAACGTAAATTAAAAAATAAAACGACGAACACAAGGGTAGTTCTCTCAGATTTGCAGATCGAATTGTGATGAGCAATGATCGACTGAACGAAGGTACCTATGGTGATCCTGGTCTGCGAGATGACACGTACCATGGAGCGCCACGTTACAGTTCTCGGACAATTGTGATTAATCAAGCTTCCCGGGTGACGTCAGCAAAGCGCGTACGTGTAGCAGTTTCTGTACTACAGACCACAGGTCGATGGTACCAACCAATCGGAAACCGTGCGAATCAGACAGAAGCTGAATAACGCCACAAATACTAGAACGCGATTGGTAGAGGCTCGGATGATCAATAAACTTGTTTTGTACATATTATTTAACCCCGTAATTTCTTTCAATAAACGAACTACTACTCCTGTGACCCTTTCCTCGCGTCTCAGTTAGGTGGGATATTTCGTGCAAGTACCAGTTTGGTCCAGTGCTTACGTCTCGTCTGTCAGATCAACGTGATAAGCTGCTTGCGTAGGGGGTTCTACAATCAAGGAAACTGGATTCCGCCCTTTTGTCTGTGTTGCCGAATTGTGTTATATCATGCAGTTTATCGACTACTTCCACACAGGTCAATTATTTTTCTGTGCCTGATCAAACCAAGTGTGTGTTCACCCCCGGGATTGGAGCTGGCATTTAGAAAAAGAATTACATGGTGTTTTTAAGAGCAGTTTCTTCGGAAAAATCGATCCGCTTTTTCAAGTTTAGCACTGTAAAATAAGTCTTAAAATTCTATCCTACCTGTTCGCTTATCTTGGCACTTTGTTTGCAAACGTTTTATCACCAGCCGAGGGGACATTATCAGTGCTTGTGAAGTGACAGTGTTCTGCATGTAACCATTCGTTTATATGTGGTCTTCTCCACCGACCGATTTTTTGTCCCTTGTTCTCATTCGATTGAACTCGATTCGCTGTTAAACTGGTGCTTGGGGGTAAGGTTGGTAGGGTTGTGGTTATTTCTTCGTTCTGATTGCGGTTTCATTCCGTTCTCAGGCCACAGTGTGACCGTTTTGTTGCGTCATTTGATCCTTGATCCTTTTTCCTCGGATCCGTGAACACCAATCGGCAATCAGGAGACATGACCCACTATCGTTGATTTCCCTTTACGAAGATCAAGAAGAACATCAGTTTCACTTCGAATCAGGCCCGGTCAAAACATGCGAGAGAATTTCTGGAGGCTCGGCACTTTTCAATCAACTCTATAAATAAGAACATCGAACTGGATCACGTGTACACGCCAATGCAACTCAAGGATCAAATGACGCAACAATAAAGGCCATGCCGTGACCTGGGAAAGGACCGAAATCGCAGTCATGACGGAAGGACAATCTTCTTCCCTCCCACACTCACCGGCTCGCACCAGTTCAACGGCGAACCGAGCCGAACATTTGCAAGCAAACTGCCAAGCTCGGCGAACAAGCGAAATAGAATTGAGCTCATCCGGGCTATGAGAACCGATTTTCAATACTTTGTCAAGTCGTAAAATAGCCCGTTCCCTACACGAATTTCTCATCTAGGGTAGACTAAAATAGTCCAGTGAGGGATAAAATTTAACTAATGAGCAAAATAAACTTTATCGGTGGATTTGTTTTTAATTTTTTCGTTCGGAAAAGATTTGGATGTGGTGAATCACAGTGACAAATTTACTTTTCCAATTGCAGTATCTTATTAAAAACGAATAAGTGATAGCGTTTCAGGATCAGAAATACGGTGGGAGGAACATTCAATAGCCAGGAAGTTGGAACGATGGTGGAAGTATGGATCAACCACTCAACCTACGGAACGATTTAGGGGAACGATCCACATTGCTTGAACATTATTGTCTCTTTGGTAACGGGAAATAGTATGAACGAGGAATTTCTGGTATGTATGCAATTGAGAAATCTCCCAGTCAGTGCATTTAAACCATCGATTATTAATCTTTGGTGAACTGAGTTCCTAAGACTAGATAAAGTATAGAATCACCAGCTTCCCCGATTGCGAGACTCGTTATGCCGGTATACACGAAATAAGCAAATTTGGACAGTGAAAACTTTACTACGCACGCGGAAGCTGAGAATGCGAGAGACCGAACACATGTTTTCCGGATGAGAACACGGATTTACGACCAAAAATTTGACAACAGACCACCCTTTTCTGTTCTAACGAGAATCACCCGGGTATACTACACCAAAAATTATACCATTGTACTTACGAATATATATATATATATTCATATACTGGCTTTTCCAACACGTAATGACTTTGCGAAAGATTGCCAGTCTGCATTGGGACAGAACTGTCAATTTATTGTGACTTTTAAATACCGAGTACATATTTCATTGTAAAATCTTTGCAGACGTTTTGATGAAACGTGTCTCTTTATTCAGAAATATAACTGAAAGGGCACCATCATTGTAGTGCACTGATAGCGATGCGCAAAAAGCATTTATTTATCTTTCGCTAATATCTTCCTGACTACCTCGTATCACCTTTGAATTGGCGGGACTTTGATTTTTAGGATCGACAATGTTTTGGTGTTATAAGATGCAGTCGGTTTTGTAGAACAGTCAAGTCCACTTTTCACGATCCCTAATTACTAAATTCCAGAATGTTCATTCTGGTCTCGAATACAATATAGTTTGCGTTCTGTGAAAAATAAATATGCTCATTAATTCCAATTTCATATCACAAACAAACTGAAAAATTGTGTGACGACCAATGGCTCACAAAAATCTGTTGTCATGGTAGAACTAAAAATATACATCGCATCTGTGTCATGTCCGTCCACTATTCTTGTAAATATTTTTCTATAATGTTTTCAAATGCGTTTTGATATCGTACGATTGATGAATCTCTTATTCTCGCCGAAATTGCAAAAGCCCACATTTACAAAAAAATTAGACTAATGAAAGTGGATAATCTCATTGATAAGTTGTATCTAGTGCGGGCTAATAATATCTTAGTTTCCGTGCCCGAGATCTGAAACGTTTGGCACCGAATGGGCGAAATCGGATGAAAGTCACGGTATCTCCTGATTTGGATCAATTACTGCATTGGTGTCTAAGAAAACTGGCATTCGCTTAGGATACTAAAGGTTGAAAAGATAATGTAATAACCAAGATGATACTCATCATCAAACCATTGACAACAGGATAGCAGATAAAGATGTTTACTTGGCATTGTTTTAGATTACGTAAGACAGAAATGAGCTAGTCGACGCAGCATCTGTGAGAACCTCATCACCTCACGAATCATTTTGTTCGGAGTGAATGTGAAAAAAACTTGGTGACTGCATGGTAAAAATTGATGGTGTATCTGTAATCCTATCACCATTTCTCAGTTTGTTTGAAGCCAGATTATCGGAAGCCACATTCACACCACAGCCCACATTTGATACGAGGATAGGTGTTGGACAAGACATACCCATATTGTAGACAGCAACCAAAACCGGCGCACGAAAGTGCATGGTTAATGGTTGTTCAAACTGAACTGAACTGAACCCATTTTGTATTCCCTGTTACTAACATACCATAACATCAGCTAACACTTTGCCTCCAAAATTCCCGGTCATCGTGTTACGCGTAGGCAATCTCGAAACTCATAAGGTACGTTTGACTCACAGTCGCTCAGTGTTGCGATTTCCGCGCACGTTTCAATCACCTGATTGCCGGGGGAGTCAATGTGAGAAAACCGGTGCTAGTAAACACGTGGCACCCCTTCGGTGCAAATAATTGTATATGTACAATCGATCGATCCGGCAAAACACAGAGACAGAGAGAGTGGAACGGCACGTGGTCAAAAGGTAACAATTATTGATCACATGATTCAATCCATTGATAGGCAGACGGTGGGGGAATGAGGGAGTTCAAACTATCCAGAACGGAATAACAATATGGCCAGTTGACCGGCATAGAAATAGATGAAATGTTTTGTCTCATGTGTCACATAGCTTCCGTAATTCCGACCGACAATGCAGTGCCATGTGGGCCCATGTTTTTTGTCGAACTAAAGATAAAAACGAAATCGGAATTTTGATATGAACGGTCATGCATATGCATACCTCTTTTTTGATATATGCTGCAATATCTTTCTCTATGTTGAACTCTTGCAATGCGGTGCTCGAAATGGTGAATGCATCTTGTTGCATTTCATCCGACATGTCCACATTTTTCACCACATACTTAGCCGTGTTCTCTCCCATCCTGTTACCCGATCAAACTGTATTCAACTGACCGGGGCTGATGATCACGCACAGAAGACGGTTTGCCTGTGCACACACACACACACACGGCGAGCACCCAGACGGGATTTCTGGTCAAGTTGTCTGTGTGCAGCGTTCAGACCAGCACTGCCCACCTACCACCGATAAAAGCATGATTATCCTCGTCCCGTCCCCCCCC